GCGAGTCGAGCGTCTTACCCACCTGGCCAAGGCCGGGCTGTCTAGTCTTTAATCCTACCTTTATACTAAAGACTTTTTCCACAATAAGGCCCGATTTCTGATTACTCACTGGTCATCACTCATTTATTTATGCATATAAAGAGACTGTAAGGCCTCCAATATTGATGATATTAGGCACCATCATAAAGTGCATAAACATACGTAGATATAGGTGGAAGTATCAACAATCTTTCTCATTCCACAGTAGATAAGTTAAAATGTGCCTTGTTAGAAGTAGCTAGTGGGATAACCCTTTAACTTAACTGATACAACACTCGCTTGGTGTATGAGAAGCAAAAAACGACATTACTTCAGAAAAATTGGTAACCAACTAGTGAGTATTTCTCATGATCATGAGATAAGGTCCAAGGATAGGCCCTACTTGTAAGAGGGAAAGCATATGGTACTTTAACTCGGAACATTTTGTAGGGAACTCAATTTACATATAGGAAGACATAGGTTCAGTCCGACTAGAAGAAGAAGAATTAGATTACTAATACTTTAAATGAACAACTTCATGGTATAAAACATTTGTTATTTGATGAAATTCAATGAACTTTATATCTAAAATTCTATGTTTGAAAATATGTATACTATGTGTAAAGCTCCTTTCCAAATAAGATTTTTCTTTCACCAGGAAAAGAAATAATCCAGGGCATCATGCGTAACTGACCAGAACAATGACGTAGAAGAAAAGCAAATACATTTCTTATAAAGAAAACTCTTAACAGTAACTATAATTAGAAAAATACAAAACTTCAATTTTCAATATTCCTCAGAAAAAAAGCATACACATGCACATATACAAAAATATAAATGGATCGGAATGGTTTTTCAAATGAATTTTAAATCAAGTTAATTGATATGATCACTATTGTCCAAATTATTACGTCATTCGTAATCACAGTTTTCGAACCCTCAAAACATTTAGAAAGTCATTTTGTAATACTATTAGAACTGAAATTCATAACAGTTGAATAAAAGTACATATTTAACTTTTACAGATGTTCCCAATTTTTTCACTTGGACTTAAACGTATGAATGCAGATTTAGCTACACAGCTACAGACAGCACATATAGCTACTAGATAAATTTAGAATAATAATATACATGAATGAAAGCGTAAATTGCTAAACTAGAAAAACAAACATTATGAGCAAAATGCGATACCTCCAGGAACGTTCCACGTATGAAACAACGTTTGTAGTATAAGCTGGGCTGCCGAGTCAGAGATAAAATGAATGTGCAGAGGATTTTTGCGATAAAAAAGAATACTCTTTATAAGTGTCACAACAGATCTACTAGAATTGTAGCCAGCACAAACAATGGATACATGGATCACTTCGCATTTTGGCACTTCAGGTTCTGGGTTAACGCACACAAATGACTTTTGTCCAATTCTTTCCTGTGTTGCAGTACTCTCGAGAGATTCTTTGCCTGTGTGGATGCTACTTTCATTTTGCTGGGCTTTAACCATAATGCTCATGAGATGATTCTGAGAAATACTATACAGTTTGAAGAACAGCAAAGAAATAAAAAATAATTCAGTTACGTATTAATTCTTAACATGAACAATATTTCTTAATTATATAAATAACTAATAAAGTTACATTTCTAGTTTTATTAACAGCAGACTCAATCTTCTTAAAGTGTAACAAAATTACATCAAATATCAAAACTGTGTAGATTGGGACATTTGATTTTAATATTAGTATCAATCACATCATTTGAGTATAGAACACTTTACTCCAAAAGCCACTAATTCAATACTTAGGGCAATTACCTATAGTACTTACACTGCAGAACTCAAAGAAATTCAAGCAAAGGTCAATGCTGACTGAGCTTCTAATTACTGCCTTACTTCAGCAGAATATTCAAAGTACACTATAAAGTTTGCATTTTTGAAAGCAGTTCTATGGAATAAAAAACAAACAAACTGTTTGAATGTTGTTCTAATATTCTTTATTTTACTGTAGGCCTAGTAAGTTCAAGTTACAAAAGCAATTTAAAAAATATATAACTTATAGGATCCACTAAAAGTATGTATTTGTCAATTTTCATTCATATGGATGTGATATATTCATAGTGACATTGTGGTATGCAGACAAACAATGTCATTTTCTTGTAATATAGAAGTTTTTTAAATTAATGCACATTTCACATAACACGTGGTTAATAAAGTCATTAAGTTGCTTTCCTTCTAGCTATTTTTGTTCTTTGTCATTCCTTTCTAAAGCTGCATCTGTGCAAAAACGTAGTCGGTAACATCTTCCATAAAGTGGTAGGTCAGGTGATACCTCAGAGTTTCAACGTCCATTATGTTTGAATGAAAACAACCAGTCATGTGGGTAACGATAGTCAATTTGAGTAAGTCTGATGTTATCTGCTTAGCTAAGTAATGTGAACTTTAGTCAGTCTGAAATGGTTCTTGAGAGATCTAACAGTCTTGAATATAATCTCAACCAGGGTAATATGGAGATACAAAAGGTTTCAATCCAGTAAAATCAACTTGCCCATAAGTAAGTACACACACACCATGTTTGTGTTTGCAAGTAATATAGATTGTATTTTGTATACACTTGTACATACTATCTTTATTTCCTTTTCATGAAACTGAATTACTCACAGAACTGTTGCTATATGGGAAATCAGGTCGATTTGAAATTACCACAATACTAAGATTTTTTTCACTTAAGGAATATGCAGATGGTAACAGAAGACAACTGTTACCTCCCCCCCTTTTATAAATAGTGTATGACAAAATTAAAATTACATACCATTTTAAGTTTCATAAAACACCAGTTTATTTATTTTCCTAATATGACAGACATCTATGCAAGGTCACAACAGTCCAAGTAATAAATACTTAAAAAACCTAAATTTATTCATATTAGGTTCACATGAAATTCTTTCCCGGCAGACGATTATTAAATTATAGTATTTTTATAGTGTTTTCTTGTACAATCTACTCATTGTCAAACATTGATTGAACTCTGCAAACACTAAAAGACAATCCATGCCATAAGTATACAAAATTAATCAGTTTAGTAGAATATTTACTTAACATGAATATTGATTATTTTTACAAATGAAAAAACTTACAAAGTTTCGTTTTTTTTATTTTTTTGACAGAAATAGTCTGATGTATTTTGAATTATTTATACAAAGTTAATGAAATTATTTAACCTCCAATTCTTACGAAAATGCATTATTTATCCCAAAAGAATCAAAGACAAAAAAAAAGGAGGTAACAAGAATTAAAAAAATTATATACGGATTATAATTTTTAGCTGTTTCACATATTTTTGTACCCATTATTTTTATTAGTTTTATAAATCTGGAAATTTTTGGCTTTCTCTTTTAGTTTTATATACATTCTCTAATGACTAAAATATAATTATTAACTACACGAGAAAAATATACAAGTCCTTTTTTTTAGAAAAGGTAACTAATAAGCAATACAGTTTATACATCCCAATTACAAAAGTAAACACGGTATGAATATTTTATCGGATCCAAAAGCAAAAGAAACTCTTAGATCCAAGAAGTAATAAAAATCAACTATACGTTCGAAGTTACCTTGGCCAAAAAATTAAAAATGGTAGATAAAGATTAAACCTACTTTATCAAAATAAAGCTTTCTGTGCAGTTGTGTTAGCTTATTTCAATTACGACAACAGTGTTCATAAACAATAAGAAGATTATTTTAAATTGTAAATGGGGAATGAAAAAAACTATCTTCCAAAACATGCCTGAGCTGCCTTCGTAACAAATGGTTCTGTGCCTCAACTTCTCTCACTCTCTCGGCCAGCTTGGCTTCTCGCCGTGTAAACCCCAACAGATTGTCAGTGGTGACACCTGTAAAAACATCCACACATTTTAATAGATGAATAATTCAAAAGTTCAATGGAAGAAAACTATTATAATTATTATCTGTATTTAGTAAGGACTTCAACAATAGACTTTTCTTACATTTTGGAGATACTGGAATATGGAAATACTAAACACATTCGAAAATGCCTAATGAGTAAATGAGAATGAATATAAATCAAAACTTTATTGAAATACATCATCTTCAAGTAACAAGCTTTTTAAAAGTCATTCTCCATTGGAACTAAATATTACTGAATTTTCCAGCATTCAAATATAAAAAACAAGTTTCATCTATAATTAACTAGAAATGTTTTTTGTTTTTTTCAGAGCTTGCAGATGGACTTCAAAGACTGCGTAAAAGTTCATAAACCTTCACAATTTGATTTACTTACTCTATAAACATTAATTACAAAGAAGTCCACTATCTAGGTTTCTTTTGTTTCACAATTTATTGTTTTCTGAATGACGACCCTGGTTATAAACAACTGCAGTAAGTAGTGTTTAGGGAGCAAGTGGGAGTGGCAGCGTTCACCCTCAAGTACAGCAGTTCTTTGGGGGACTAAAACAACAATGAAATTCTCATTTAGAGATTCAAATTTTCATTCATCAAATTTATCACTAACTCAATAACAAAAAACCTTCATGTGTAAGTGATACCTGACAATTTCAGATGCGTTGAAAGTCACTCCCTATGGTAAGAAAGAGTTCCAAGCTCATTGCTGTGCTGTGAAAATTATACTGAAGTAGGCTTTTGTGCAGATGACAAATTACAAAGGTTTGTTTGAGCAAACAAAAGTACAGGTCCATGGAAGATGCCTGAACATTATAGCATGAATTAGTGGTTGTACAATATTCTTGTGGGGAATCTAACACATTGATTTGGATGTGTGGCTGTTTGCTTTGTTTTGATGAAGCCATAACTTATTGGCATTCAGTCTATAGAAAAGGTGGTATTCCTTTACGACATGACAGTGCCATTACTTTAGCCTGATAGTACACAAAGTTCATCTTGAAATATTTTGTTTATAATTCTCCAGATGCTTAACTTAGCATTACAGCTGCAAACATCATAAATTTACAGATGTTTACAGTTTTTTCAGTTAATATACGCTTCATTCAATGTCATGATGCTTATATAAAACACAACATTAAACACTGTTTTAAGACATCAATCATGAAATTTCAACCTAAATCTAACAACATTTCAGAATTTTTTTTTATGAATTATAGGAATCATTATGATTTATCAAACAATAATGTTAGTTGTTAAGAATGATCTGTTATCAGTTTA